CTCCAGCTGGAAAGCGATGCGAAATAAAGTTCGTGGTGCATTCATCGTATCCATCAATAACCAACCAGTCTTCAACAAACAGTCTGCTTTAAATGTTCTCGAATCCCTAGTAGCAAAAGGCACAACAAACTTCGAAATCAAATTTGCCCCTGTTACAAAAGCATCCAGTGTTCGAAGATGGAAAGAAGTTGATGAATATAATTTACATGCGCCGACAGACAAATTCAATACGACTGCGCAAATAAATTATGCCGCTCTTTGAGTGATCACGGCGATCCGCACAGGTACCCACATCCCTTCCAATATCGTTTCTGACGAAATGATTCGACTGGTCATCAATGCCCTTACTTCACAAACTACAACAAAGGAAGAAGCAGCACTTGGCCACTTCACCCGTCGTAAGCTCAAGAAACTTGATAATTKGAACGAATGGCTTAACGCGGAACGCAAAACAACTAGATCAATTTCACAATCTCGAGATGTACGGAAAACCGACCCCTCGCCCTCCGAAATCGATTCTACTTTGACCTCATTGGCAATATCAAGTTCGCAAAACTGGTGAACAACAATCACGAAATTGCTGCGACGGATCCAAACAATCTGCACCATTGCTTCATGCAATTGCATCAACTTACTCCTTGTGTGTCAAACAACCAGTTCAACGTCTCTTCCTTGCTCTCACCGCGATCCTCAACTACAAGTTGTACGCTGGCGATGCCAAAGATGCATACGGTCATTCACCACCTCCTGAAGTCCCTACCTTTGTCGCTATCAATGGACAATACGCTGACTGGTATAAATGGAAATTTAATGAACAACTTGACCCGACACATGTTCTCCCCATGCAACATGCCCTTCAAGGCCACCCTGAATCCGGTCGTCTCTGGGAAGAACATATCAACAAAATTCTTTTCTCCAAAGAATTACGCTTCACGACAACGACACATGACAAATGTATCTATCAAACAACATACAAAGACACAAAGATACTAATGCTACGTCAAGTCGACAATTTCCTCATCTCATCTCCAAATGCCACCCTBGCAAATGAAATCTACGACATTATAGGCAAGAAACTCCAACTTCCTAAAGAAAAGAATATTCCATTCAAGAACTTAGGACTTGCCACATCATATCATATAGGCTTGGCCAGCCAATGTATGGTTTAAACCTTGGATTTGTGGCCATCTAATTACCGTGTAACGACTCGTGGGATTAAAAATTGGCTTGTACTGGAGTTTACAGCTGGCACGTGCGAGCGAAACCATTTTGCGTTTCGCGCGCACGTGCTCAACCAACAATTTTGGCTTCGAACACATGCAAATTTTTAATCCCACGAGTTGCTTTCACGTGCATGCTGTAGGCCTAGTACAAGTCAAATTTTTAATCCCACGAGTCATTACACGGTAATTAGATGGCCACTAATCCACGCACACGTATAATTTAACCGTATAACTGTTTTAGTCCCGAACTGACAGTTTGGGCAATAACTTTTTCCCCAACGGACGCTTAAGTATGATAAGCACATGGTTGAAAAGAGAATTCAAATAGCTTTCTAATGGCGTGGGGGAGTACGGCGGACGACGAATATTGACTTATATTCGTTTACGTATATCTTGAATTGCTAATGTACGGTTTAAACCGTGCTTTTTTGCTTGGCCCACCCTATACGATATGGCCAGAACCAGAGCCGGGTATGATTCATACATACAATACATACATACGATACGTATATACGATTCATACACACCATACATATATGACTCATGTGATCCCACTGGATTCATACGATCGACATGACTCATTTCATTCACTTGCGTGAGTGACTCGACTCATTCAATTCACATCTCACTCAATCCCCATAGCGATCCATTCTAGATTTCATAGTTTGTCGATCCCCGATAAGAGCATTGACTCACTTTTCTACTAGCACACATTTTACATCACTATTAGGACAGTCACTCCCACATATAATAAGCGTCACTACTATATACATAAAGCGTCACTGCATACACATGTATATATAGTTCTCAGAAGGAGAATTCAGAACAGGAGAACTAATTGATTGGGAGTTCTGTTCTAAAGTCGCTCAGTACAAGCAGTACTACTAAGTCCTACGCCATCCGAGAACTAAGGAAAGTAGCACACACTTGACTTGTACTGCTTCTTGGATGTATATTTCTACTATCGATTCCCCTATCAATTGCAAGGAAAGGATCAGCACAACACGAGGAATCGTGTAGTGGTGAATCCTTTGAGCAATTTAGTCTATTCATTAGTTTTAGTCTCACAATCCTAACTTAGATACAATCTAAATACTACTACTACTACTACTAAAACAATTCAGTACACGTTATTTCATGCACATTACTAAATTAAGGTCACACCAAAGCGTCGCTAACTAAGGATCATACGATCACATAATTGATCATATGTGTGGTACAAAGAAAAAGAACCTGAATCGATTGGTCAGTCAGAACTCACAGTGAATTTGCTAGCAAATAACACACGATTGATGAGATCAGACTGTCGGAATGTTTTTTGGAGCTTCCCCCAACATTTCTGAGCTCTCCAGAGCTTGCTCCGACATTTCTCAGCTTTAGACCTCAGCTGGAAACCGCACTCCAAACGCTAAGACAAAACTAGACAAGATGGAATCTGGCTTAATAGGCATACACTTGAATGCCAGAGTGAGAGATCCAATCAAGGGGCTAATTGAATTTCAGTCTGGCATTGCAAGTGCCCCTCAAGCATCTGCCTGCAGCACTTGCAAAAGCAAATCCAATTCTAGATCTGACAAAGCTTCATACTTGAGAGTAGTTCCTTCCCCATTTGGAAGCAAGCCTGGAGCAGTAGGCTTATCATAATCCAAATCATCTGCATCATATGAATCTGTATCCTCCTATGAAGATGAATCCAATAGAACCAAAGGATCCAGAGCAGAAGTGAATTGATTATTGGCGTGCCTGGGGCCCCTGATGGTGGTGTCCCTTCCAAAGTGCTTCACCTGTGCAATGGCTCCAAGGAATCTTGTATCAGAATCCTGTGTCATAGGCTCAGCACCCTTTGGTGGCATGCCATTGTTGTTGTTGCTGTTGCTGTTGCTGTTGCTGTTGTTGTTGTTGTTGTTGTTGTTGTTGTTGTTGTTGTTGTTGTTGTTGTTGTTGTCATTGTTGTCATTGTTGTCATTGTTGTTGTTGTTGTCATTGTTGTTGTCATTGTTGTTGTTGTTGTCATTGTTGTTGTCATTGTTGTAATTGTTGTCATTGTTGTTGCCATTGTTGTTGTTGTTGTTGTTGTCATTGTTGTTGTCATTGTTGTAATTGTTGTCATTGTTGTTGCCATTGTTGTTGTTGTTGTTGTTGTCATTGTTGTTGTTGTCGTTGTTGTCGTTGTTGTCATTGGTATCCCCTTCATCCTCATTCTTTTTCGCGCCTTGTCCTTGAGCCCCCAGAGGGAGATGGAAAGCCGCTGGATCAGCACCCTGTGGAATGGGTCCATTAGATCTGGAACGACATGTCACATCATGTCATGTCATGTTGCAATGGATGCCTACGTATATGTATAGATACGTATGTATGTGTATAGATACATACATATGTAGTATAGGAGCATATGTATAGGAGCATAGTACGTATAGGAGCATACGTACAGATAAGGAAGTACCAACACGAGTGGACATACCATTCATACCTAATTATCCTATAGTACCATTCATACCTATGTATCATAGGATCCATCATACCAAGGAATCTAAGAGGTCTAAGATACGAGGTAGTAGTATGACGTCCTGGATCCAAAAAGAACATTGGATCCAAAGAACAATGATGTCACGAGTCAAGAATAGAAAGAACCCCATGTAGATCCAATACCAGGATCTACATAGGGATCTAATCACCTGTCAACATCATGTAATAACACAGTGACACTTTAAGATATAGAATTGTAACATAATATCATTTCTTCTTAGTACTAGTATACACATTAAAATACACGATATCTTGTGCACATGTCATGTCATGTCATCATAGCAATTATGTACTTATGCTAGAAGTGCACACCACCAGAACCTGGCTGAAACTGAGTTATTTTCAACTGTTAGTAAGTGACATCACCATCAAAGACAACTTGCTGCTAAATCACTTTGCCATAATCAAGCTCTGCTTGTTGTACTAGTAAGTTACTAGTAGTACTATTGTTCCTACTAATAGTGAATTTTCAATGGTTAAGTGACATCATTGAAGACCACTTGCTAAAAGACCACTTGCTAGCAAATCACTGAGCCATAATCAAGCTCTGCTTGTAAGTTTTTGTTCCAGTTGACCCCCATGAAAATCTCAATTTTGCCCATTGAATCTGCAATAGTCTGGCAGGTTTGCACCTCTGTTGGCTATGGTGCACTGGACTTCGCTATCTTTACTGTACAGTAGCCAGTAACCTTGAAGAATTCTTACAGCCCTGGACTTACCGACAGGAAACAAAAAGAAACTTTTTTTAGTGTGGATTTGTGTAAACCCTGGTACACCATTTTTTGCAAATAAATTAGTACCTTGACCAAAAATAGATTATTCATTTTTAACTTAAACATTCAGTCATTATTGTGACAAGTCATTCTAGGAATAACTTAGTTTTTGCACCGTGGTAAGTTTTTTGCGTTAGCGGCCCAATTTGCAACTTCGTACTCGTACGAGTATGATCGCACCAGGGAATTTTGCGTCTCCTATCCTAAGCCTCATTCCTGTCCTAGTACTACTATGCACGATTGAAAAGGTTACGACTGAAAAACGGAGTCTCGCTGCCTGTCGCCACTCATCTCAAAAAATCATGAATTTGCTTCAAACATTGATCGAAAATTTGGTTTGTGGCGCAATACCAAATTTGACTTCCCGTATGGTACGGTACGGTACGGTACTGCTCATACTGTGCATGATACAATATCGCTTGAAGTACTAATAAACACATCTCTACGAGTACGTGAGATGTTTCTTTTCAGTATTCACATTAATAGGGAAAGGAACTCAATTTTCGACCCTTGAACATACTTACCCAATACCAACACTAAATTAAAATAAAGGAAAATGAAGCTTGACCCTACAGTTCTCCGAACTATGGGCCCCACGGACTTTCGTGTTTTAGAAGCTATTGAGAAGGGAATGCAGAAGCATGCTTTGGTCCCGTCTTCTTTGATTGCGACTCTTTCCTCCCTTAGGCATGGTGGTACCGGCAAAATACTTAGCGGCCTATTGCGCGACAAGCTTCTGTCTCATGATCAGTCATGTGGCTATGATGGATATCGTATCACTACGGGTACGTCAACTTTTTGTATGCCAGATAAATTATGTTTTCATTCTTATCAAAGACGACATCCTTTTTAAACACATTTTGGTTGCACGTCCCGGTAGCCGGTTACGATATTTTGACTCTTTACAACCTAAAATGTCGGAAGATTATTGCAGCTATCGGAGATAGAATAGGGACAGGCAAAGAGAGTGATATTTATTTGGCCGTCCGTCCCAACGGGGACCAAATTGTATTGAAATTTCATCGTTTAGGTAGAACGAGTTTTCGAAATGTGAAGAAGACAAGAGATTACTTCGTTTATCACCAAAAAGGACGGAACATAGGTGCTCCAAAGACAAACCAAGCTAATTCTTGGTTGTTTTTGAGTAGGAAGTCTGCATTAAAAGAATTTGCGTTTATGAAAGCCTTGTACAATGTTGAGTATCCGACCCCGGAACCTATTGCTCACAATCGGCACGTTGTGGCAATGACGCTGATTCGCGGGGTCCCTCTGTATCAGATTATTAGGACAAAGTTAAGTGCAGAGCAGGCAGCTTCTATTTTTCATCAGGCAAGCGAGTTGGCTTTGCGTCTTGCCAAACATGGATTAGTGCACTGCGATTTGAATGAATTCAATCTAATTGTTGATGTTAGTGGAATACAGCAAAAGTCACTATCACAAGAACACGATCACTACGTGAGGCATTCAGGTATGTCTGTTGCAGCAGAGACTAATCCAGGAATGTTGAGTGCTCGAGGACCTTGGGAACCAGATCATCTTCAAAAATTTCAACCTGATCATCAATCTGATGATCGGGAAAACGATCCCGCGCCACAACCAACAGAACTTTTGGATAATGGAGAGCCAAAGCCCATTGTAACGTTGATTGATTTTCCCCAAATGGTTTCAACTCGGCATCCTAACGCTAGGGAGCTTTACGAAAGAGACACGTCCTGCCTTTTGAAGTTCTTCACCCATAAACTTCAGTTCCAAATTCCAGAATCCGATATGGAAAATTTGTTTTTATCCTGGGATTCGGTGTTAGAAGTGCTAGAAAGACAACAATCATGTTCTATTGAGCTAGAGGATATTGGAGAAAGAGCTTCAGCTTACGATTCTGAAAGCGTCTGTTTGGCCAGCAAGGCACAGTTACGGTTGGATGAGGAGCTGAAGGCAAGTGGGTATACTGACGTAAACTCAGGTCTAGAAACTCCGCTTCATTATTATGACAAAGAAAGCGAATCCAAGGATATTTCCATTGAGGGCGACAACGACAGTCTAAGCTCAGATTTAGTCAATGCCGATAAAGTTGATGATTGTGGTTTGTCAATTGGTTCGGAAGGTGACCACGTTTCGATTTCTATGAATAGCACATCTTTAAGTGTATTGTACCCACCAGAAGAACTCGCAAATTTATCACGCCATCAGTTACAAGAACAAGCTAGGGCTCGTGTTCAGCTACAGCTCGAATCGCAGAAGAAAAAGAATCGTCAGCGGGGTGCTTTTCGAAAACGAAACAGTAACAAAAGTTATAGCAAAGGAAAGAGAGTATACAGCGATAACGGATTTTAACATCAACTGGGAACTTGCAACAGAGACCGGTAGTTGGAGACCGCCGCCATGTTTTGGCTGTGATCCTAACTACTATTTTCAGTAACGAGTAGATCACACGACTCTCTTTTCAAACTCAGTTCGCCCCATAATTTCACGCATGTAAATCGCATAATGAAATCTATAGTTAAAGATATTGAATGGAATAACGGCATCATGAAAAGTTTCTTCGCACTGCATCAGCTCGCAGTGCTCGTTACAATCAGCCCAACTATTGAAATTTCCACAGCTCTTCATCCATTGCGAGCTTAGACCAGCTCTTACAGACAAGAGAAGCGTGATATAAATCATCATTTGATAAAAATGAAAAGACAGCAAGTCCAGCGATCTTAGGTTGCTCTGGGATATCGTGCCCAAAATATGGCTCAGTTGGTTCCAACTCCCCAGGGGTTATCTTCCGTTTCTTACGATTTGTAGCTGGATCAAAAGGCTTACGCACACCCGGAGTTCGAGGGCTTCCAGCTGCTCTCTTCGTATGACTTTTTAATTTAGGTGTAGGCATGGAATTTCCAGTCGACGGTGGACGGCTACTATGCGAACCATGATGCATTCTATGGGATATTCCTTCACCCGGCGGCATCCTACGTGGTGGTTGATGATAGCCATGAGGAACTGACATACTCATTGGAGAATATCCCATGTGGTGATGACCATGAGGAATCATCCGTGCATGCGGCCCCATATATACCCTGTGCGAGTGTTGGGGAAGAGGATAGCCACGACTTCCTTGCGCTGGATATCCCCTCTGGTTTGGATGAACCATGTGATGCGGCGGAGGCATCCCGACAACCGGGGACGGTATTGGTTGCCGTCGATGTGGTTGCGACACAGGTTTGCTGCTTGAAGTTGAGCTCCCTGATTTCCACTGCTCATGAGAGACTCGCATAGCGTATTGGGCACCCACTGGATCCTTCATTTTATTCCGTTTGTCAGCTAATTGCTGTGATCCAGGATGATTCTTGCACTCTTGACATTTACATTTCTCGCCACAGAACGCACCAGCATTGAAACACTATCGATGACAAAAAACAAATGTGAGCCGTAACTTCGTTTTCCGAAAAGTGATGTTGATGAACCGATCGAAGTCAGACGACAAAACCAAGAAAAGGTGACATACCTCGCAGTACTTCTTCAAACACTGAGACTTCTTGCATTTACAACCAGAGTTGTGGACTTTCTGTGAAGCTTCGGCACCTTGCGAGTTTTTAAGAACAATTTTTTGTTGGAAGGCCTTAGAATTTTTAGCCCGTGTGTCTTTGATTGCTTTCTTTCGCTCCTCTTCAAACTCTGGGGTATTCCGGCAATCAAGACAGTTGCATCCATTGCAAAACCGCTCCGCTCCAAAACATTCGCAGTATAGTTTCAGACACTTCGATTTCTTACAGTTGCATGTTTTCCTTTTAGGTGCTGTTTTTTTCTTGCTGTTTTCCTTCCCAATGGAAGGCGGCACAGGATTGTGCTGGTGATGTAAAGACTTATTATCTCGAGGAGGAAAGTGACTCATGTATATTGGTTTTGGTGGACGTACACCAGCATTGGAATGATCTATCTTCCGAGGATACATGGGTTTCATAGAAGGTCCCACTGGTGGTGGATAAGAGCTATGACGGCCTCTTCCATGACCTGGTCTTATATGACTATACCCCTTACTTGGAGTTGCAAGTTCACCAAACCCGTATGGATGATGAGACGATCTTTGATGTTGAGAAGGAGGCTGGATACGACCGTGAATGGTGCCATATCCCGAAGAACCATTATTTCGTTCGACTGAGTTTTTGTTGTGATTGGTTGAGCTCTGCTGCATCATGCTATTGATTCCCTCTAACGTTTTCCTAGTGTTGAGTGGTCCCGTTCCACCAATTTCGAGACGAACTGGTCCCTGTGTCCTATTTTTTGATGGCCACAATTGTTTTGGTTGTGCCCCTGGATCCAACCTTGAACTTGGAGCCTCGCCCTTCCTATCACTGATAGTCACTGCACTTGCCTTTGGATGCTCGGCAGATCCTAGTCCAATGATATCCTTGTGATCCTTGGAATGGTGGTATCTACGGTCTGAGGAGATATCATGGTTGCAATCATATTGAAGGGATGGTCTGGGATCTCCGTGTATGGCGTTGGATTGATCAAAAGAAAGCAGCTCGCTAACGTCAGGAGACATCGGTGATCTTTGAGGTCGCCTGTCACGTCTTGAAGACGGAGGAGAGGATGTTCCCTCTGAGTTGCCCTGGGAAGGGGATCGATTAATACCCATCAAGCTACCTCCGAAAAAAGACTCATCTAGTTTGAATGGGGTAGAGGCATCTTCGTACAAACCTTCAAAGCTAGGTCCCATTGGGGAATAGTCTCCTGTTGGCAAGGTCCCAGTTGGAGTATCTATGTCGAAGCTAAGATTGGGTCTTTTTAAGTATGGTGATGGACGAAATGCCTCGTTCTTCGCTTCTGAACCACTGCAACCAAGATCTCTTCTAGGAGATCGAAAAGGAGATCTTGCTGGCCTTTTCTCCACATTTTTTTCTGGAGTCGATGCCTCTGCTGCTTTAGATGATGTTCTAGCACCTAGTGACGAGGGTGAAGATGGCGTTTGCTCGTCACTTTCAAAAGGTGGGTAAACCACTTTTGGAGTGCCCAGACCGGGGGACAGTACAGATTGGTTATCCCATTGAGAACGTTCGTGGGACTGATGGGAATAATATGGAGAATACCCAGAATGGTAAACTCCATGGTGAGCATTACCACGGCTTGGCGTCCGACTTTCTCCGTTGTACGTCGTGAACTGATGGGAGTGTCTATACGAGTTTTGGTACCCTGGAGATCCCCCAGATCTCGACGTCGAAGACAATCCAGCATTTGTCGAAGGACCATCTTGTGCACGTGAATGATAGCGATGGTGAGGCAGATGTGATCGTTTCACCAAAGACGGACGATCTAGTTCGGATAGTCTTCTCTTTTTGGGAACGCTGTTCGTGACAGGTTCTTCAGCAGGCTCACTTCCACGTGGTGATCTAGCTAAGTCTCTCGGTGGTGAGCTTTCATCGAATTCAAAACCCATTCCCATTATTGTGTCGTTGAGATCCAATTGATCATAATCGACTCGATGATTGGATTGCTGTTCTCCCGTTCGATGACATCCATCGTTGAGAGAGGATGGGAACCATTTGTTTGTGATGTCGCACAACATGTTGCATTTTATGGGACGCAAGTCCGAGGACAATTGTTATCATTGATCGTGATAAATTCATTTAGGACAGTTGTCGACGTGCCCATTGCAAGCGATGAATTGCAGGTGATGAAGGTGCCGCCAAAGCAAGGAAACCAAGATTAAAAAGCGAAAATGTTATTCAGTTTCGCCATATAGAACGAAGAGGAAAATCATTTTGGAAAAGTAGCCGTTGCAATTTTCAAGTCGTGGGTAAGCGTGATCCAATAAAATTATTTTGACAAAAAAAAACAAGAAATAAATAGACAAAATATTAGCGTTGAATTTGATCAAAACGTTAAACAAAAATTAGTGGAGGGAGGTCAAGATGATTCGCAAGATTCCTTCATGAAGTGTATGGTGCACTAGAGTGAATGTTACCGGGACTTCTACGTCTAGGACATCCAAAGTAGAAACGCAGGAACGAAAGCTTGCATATCACCAACTCATTCTAGTCCTTGCAGTTTAGTTCGGTAAGACGATGTCTACTCGCAGGGGAAGATGTACGGTTTTGTACTCAACCGAGACACCCAAGGTGTCATTTTCATCGTATTCCGTTCTATTTTGTACGATACAGACAATAGACTTACCAACGGAGGTGAAAACAGATAATTTCGAGATATCACTGGAGCTCGCGAAGGACTCGACCTTGTAGCTGCAACCTTAGAAGAGTCTCCTTCCTGTAAAGATGTGTCGCCAGAAAAATCATGATCATTTCCCAGTTTTTCGCTTTCTAGAGTATTTGAAACTTCATTTAGGGGTTCTTCCTTCACCTTTGAGCTTGTGCCGGCGTCATTTACTACCGACGGTCCTCCGGAAATGTGAGCTGAAGTCTCAGTGATGTTCGACAGCCCCTTTGTGCCTTTCTGTTGTGGGAGCTCGTTGTGTTTGGTATCAGGACATTTACTATTGTTGGTGCTGCTACTGCTGCCGCCGCCCATAGATTGGTCTTCTATGGTAGAGTCTATCATCCGAGAAGAAGTAGGCATGGTTTTTGACTATTTGCTCGCTTGATCCTGCTGTGTCGGTTGATGCTGCTTCTCGCCTGATGCTGTTTCTCGTTCAACTCCCTCCTAATCTGAGTAATCAACGGACAACAGGTACGAGTAATCTTTCGGAGTTGGAAAACGGTCCGAACAACAATAGCACCTCTTTTGTCAGGACACAATATGAGAAAATGAGTCGCAATCGCAGACTGTCGCAATATTAGAACTGTGCCTCTTTCGTATGGTACATCCAAGCCGAAGGTTTGCTCCTACACAAGTGAGATGTGCACCTATCTCATGGAATTGGAAGATAGGTTGTCATTTCCTGTGTGAGTCTACTACTACGACAACAATTCATTCAATTTCTTCACATGAAAAAACCGCGTATTTTCACTACTTTTTTCAGCGCGAACTAGAGGGAAGCAGGGGATTTGGTGGGAACATATTCCATGAGAGCCGGCTTGCTCGAAATTCAAAACTCGACGCCTAAGTGACATGGCGGGGCGAGTGTGCTACAGTAGACCGTTAGTTATTAAATACGGGGGTATTCCCCCGAGTTTGGCAAGCACACGCGCTCACGCGCCATAGATGCGACACAAACAAGCCTACTTACTGAGAATACTACCATACATATTGTAGATACGATACAGAGAATAATACTGTATTGATGGAAAGTACTGTACCGTATGCCTTGCGTCTTTCGTCTGTGATCACGAGAGTCACACCACTTCTTCTGCTACGAGTACAAGTACCCTACTGTACGGTACTGCTACCAGAGTTCATAATTTGAGAGGGGTGTGCAAGGTCGAAAAACTAGATTTTTGTGTTTGAAAAAATTTGATTTGAAAATTATTACGTACCTTCATAGAAATGCCCTGACAACATTCCAAAATTGATTTCTATCAGCCAAGCTCAGATCACTGACATTGACAAGGAAACTTAAACTTTGCCTACTCAATGTCCATAAACCAAATCAAAGCAGACCTAACTTCTTTCAACCATCCATGCCTTGTTTGTGAAATGATGACAGGTCAAACCTCCTACATACTTTTGAAAATTTTCCAATCCTACTACAGCAATCCAATCTCCTAGTACGCAAACATTTCATTAACTTCTGCCAAATGTGTAAACATGCCCAGAACACACTTGCAAAAGCAAACAAAACAGTCAAACATGTTCATACAGAAACACCGACAGAAGAAAATCCAATGGATACCTCTCCAACCACCAATGTATTGTCAAACAACAGAGAACACAAAATGGATTTTGTCTAGGGCGGACAACAAAACTGGAAACTCCAAGCCCTTCCTGATCTCCATCACCAACAACCCCAGTTCTTCATATGCTTAACACCTCCCATATAATGCATATGCAATTCATCCTGTCTAGTGACATCAAATGTGAAAAGTCACAACATCCACCACCAAATACCATCAGAACACTGCTGAAATATCCACATGATGTTTCATAGTGAAAATTGAAAAATGACTGGATACCCCTACTGACCTCTGACCAAATCTGAGATAAAAGTTGTCAATTGTCAACACTGTATGTGACATATGGAATATATCACCACCACCACCACCAAAGATATCTACCACCACAAATGTTTCTACAACAGTCCGAGCACAAATAGACACCGGTGCCAATAACACATGCACAAATTCGATCAACATACTTCACAATTACAAGCCATACAATAAGGAATTTCCATACCAGCTCAAAGTTGCTGGTGCCTTGAACTCTACAGATGGCATATATCCTCAGCATGGCGAAGGCTATATCCATGTCCCTGCTGTAAATGAAACAGGATAAGACCAACTTTGGTGCATATTCCCCAGCACTATCCTCGTCACTAATTTCCAAAGACGACATCATACATTCAGACCCACAATTACGACTTTGCAAATATACTATTGCAATGTATAAATTTTACAATTCCAATCCTACCACAATTCAATGCAAACATCACAAAGATGCAAAAAATCAATCATCATCCATGGTGTTATCTCCTTTGGAAAATCATACACATATCCACTAATAATGCCTGACCTCCTGCCACATCATCCTCGAGCAAATAAATATAACTCTCTTGAAAAAGCTCTACAAGAAGATGAAGAATTTGCAAACAATTGTTCTACCACTACTGTCAACAAAATACATGTATACCAAAAACGTGCACATGAACACATTCAGCAAGAGATAAATCAATCACTGTCTGAACTTCCTGACCATCCAATCAGCCACATTTGATGCTGATCCAATAAATATCATCAAAGCGCATCAACCAAATAACTTCTGTGGCACCAATGCTTAGGACATATAAATGACAAGTATCTCTACAATGCTCATAAATTTGTTGGCAGTGTCACCAAATTCAAACACAATGATCCTGTTCTTTATCATTGCCCTACCTGTGGTATCCAATCCAAACAAACGAAAACACCAGCTGGCGATAACACAACACATTCTGCCACCATCCCCTAGCAAGGTCTCTCCGTGGACTTCTATTTCAGTGGCACAAAGTCAAAAGACACTTTGCATGCTCAATATTACAAAGTAATTAATGGTGAAACAAGTTGGATTCTTATCTTAGATCACTTTACATTATATTTAGTTGGTGATACTCCACTCTCAAAAGCTTCCCCTATCACATGGGTCCGAAACTTTCTTGATAATGTGGAAATTAAAGACAACCATCTCTGTTTCTATCATATAGAGTTGGCGGCCAAATATACGCACCAGTTGTACCTTTTGGGCCCATATTTTTGCATGTAATGACAACTTTGACTAAAAAACTGAATCGTACTATCAGTACAGCAGGGCATGTGCTGAATTTTTGAATCCCACATCCGTGCAACCAAATAGTTTTGCGCACGCATGCTCAACCGATGATTTTGGCTTCAAAGACCTGCAAATGGCTTAGTCAAATTACTCATTACATGACCTGTGGGAGTGACTGTCCTAAAGTGATGTAAAGTGTGTGCTAATAGAAAAGTGAGTCGATGCTCTTATCGGGGATCGACAAACTTTGAAATCTAAAATGGATTGCTGTGAGGATCGAGTGATGTGTGAATCGAATGAGTCGAGTCACTCATGCAAGTGAATGAAATGAGTCATGTCGATCATGTGAATCCAGTGGGATGGCGTGAGTCATATATGTATGGTGTGTATGAGTCGCAGATACGTATCGTATGTACGTGCCGTATGTATGAATCATACCCACGGTCTGATATCCTACGGACAACAGATAAAAACATAGCCAAAAATTGACGCACAGTACAAAAAACACGTAGGATGTTAAGAGAGGTTCAACTCACTCAAACAGCTACTATAACTATTCCCCCAACGGATGCTTAAGTATGGAAAGCATATGGTTAAAAAGAGAATTCAAAGAGCTTTCTAATGTGGTGGGGGATTATGGCGTCCAATAAATATTGATTGATACACATGTATGTATATTGAGCATTCCTAATGTACAATTCAGTCAGCAGGAATAACTCCGCCAACACTATACGGTATCACCAATTCAAGACATTCTTACCAAGAAAGAACTTTGTGTAAAATGTAATAGTCCTACCTTTGGCCTTGAACTCCACCATGAAGAAGATGGATTAAATGGTTGAACCTCTCTAAAAGACGTCACTAATAACTCCAGTGCTGCCCCAATGTTCTCCTTGTCCAGGTCTACGGGAAACCAAGTTTGTGGTGCATTCATTGCATTGATCAATAATCAACCCGTCTTCAGTAAACAATCTGCACTTGCCATCCCTGAATCTTTGGTTGAAAAAGGTGTGACCAATTTTGAAATCCAATTTGCTCCTGTTGCTAAATCTTCAAGTAGTAGCCAAAGATGGAAAGAAGTGGATGAATATAACTTACATGCACCAATGGACAAATTCAATACAATAGCTGAGATCAATTATGCCACATTACGTACCATCACAACATTGTGAGCAGGTCTCCAAGTTCCATCTCACATCGTTTCTGATGAAATGATACAACTCACAATCAATGCCCTCATGTCTCAAACAACAACAAAAGAAGAAGAGACACTTTGACTTTTTCACATCAAAAATTACAAAAAAACTTGATAACTAGAACAAATGGCTCAATGGTGAAAGAAAGCAACTTGATCAATTCAATGAGCTTGAAATGTCTGGGAAACCTACACCTCAACCTCCAAAATCCATTTTATTGTGCCCTCACTGGCAATACCATGTCCGTAAAACTGGTGAACACCAATCTTGCAACTATTGCAACAGATCAAAATGTTCTGCTCCTTTGCTCCATGCAATTGCTTCCACATACTCATCCTGCATTGAACAACAAGTGCAAAGACTATTATTTGCTCTGACTGCCATCCTCAACTAGTATAAACTCTTTGCTGGCAATGCTAAAGACCTGTACGCTCACTCACTGCCACCCGAGGTACCAACTTTTGTTGCTATCAATGGCCAATATGTAGACTGGTATAAATGGAAATTTGGAGAACAAATTGATCCAACATGTGTACTCCCTGTACAACATGCTCCAAAATGTCACCCTGAATCTGGACAACTATGGGAATAAAATAATATTCTAAAACAAACTCAAATTCACAACAACAACTCATGACAAATGTATCAAGAACTCAAATTCAAGACGACAACTCATGACAAGTGTATTTACCAAACAATTTAAAAGGATACAAAAATAGTAATGTTAAGACAAGTTGACAGCTTTTGCAAATGAAATCTATGACAACATTGGCAAGAAACTGCAACTCCTAAAAGAAAAACACACCATTCAAGAATTTGGGACTTGCCACATCTTCTAATGGCCTTGATATCAACCAAACAAAACATAATTTTTAAATGGAATTTTTCAAACACATGAAATTACACTTTGCTTCTGAAAATTATCACCTAGATTTCCTACTGATTCCTACGTACATACATACCTGACCAGCGCCTTCTGGCATCCGACCATGGTGGCATCTCCTTTGGAAGGGGAAAACCCACCTCCCTCCTGCCTCCATTCAAGCATTTAACCAAGAGTATCCAATTACTTACAACAATTCCATTCAACCCCTGCACCGCATATGGTGGCAGTTTGCCCTAGCTGGTGGTGGATTCATCCCCTGTTTGTCCAGAAGCATCATATCATTGTCCTGTGTTGAAGTTGTTTCCAACATTTGTGAAGTAAAGCAACAACAACAACCCCAGCCCCCAGTATTCAACCAAGACCTATCCTTTGAAAAACAACAACGCCTGGAGTATATGCTACACCATACTCACCAGTTTTAAAGAAGATTCCCCGGCATCTCCATGCAGTTCCTGTTTTATTTATGGACTGGAAGCAGCTTCTGGTCACATTGTTGTTGTTTCTGACATTTGTGCCGGAAAGCAACAACAACAACCCCCAGTGTTTAACCAAGACCTATTCAAGAACAAGGCCTGGAGTATATGCTACATCATACTCAGTTTTTAAAGAAATATTAATATTATTTTTAACCTTGTGAACTAGAAGAGGCACTATCGTATAGCGTTGGCCAGCCAATGTACGGTTATAACCTTGGATTCATGGCCATCTTTTTCCCGTGTAAAATATGTCAAGCGCGCCGACTGACATCACGAAATCTTGTCGGAACACACCATTTTTTCTATGGAATTTTTGTCATGATGTCCGTC